CGCGATCTCGGCTCACCGCAACCTCCGCCTCCTGGGTTCAGGCAATTCTCCTGCCTCAGCCTCCTGAGTAGCTGGGATTACAGGCACGTGCCACCATGCCCAGCTGAATTTTTGTATTTTTAGTAGAGAGGGGGTTTCACCGTGTTGACCAGGATGGTCTCGATCTCTTGACCTCGTGATCCACCCGCCTCAGCCTCCCAAAGTGCTGGGATTACAGGCGTGAGCCACCGCGCCCGGCCATGCTTTTCTTTCATCTTGAATAACTTTGTCCTGAAGTGATTTAACAGAATTTTTGTAGCCTTTAGAATTTGGACTTATCTAACAAGAGTATAAATTGACTTGAGTTGTAAGCACTGAGCACTGTTACTTCTATCAAGTCTCGCTTTTATTTTTGAGATGTAAAACAGGCTTTATTTTCTTGGTTGCCCAAAGGCAGAGCAAGGACTGTCTGGTCTTTCTTATGATTATATATTTTAATTTTAAATATCTCTCCCTCAAACACACAAATGTATGTTACTGTTTTAATACTTTTTGTACCTTTAAAATAATAATAATGAATATTGTCTTAATTTAAAAATCATTATCAAGAAGAGAATTAATGACTTTGATGTAATTTTTTTGTTATATATTACATATTTCATGCAAAAACCTTTGAATCCTTCAGAATAATATAGGTATTATTATACTTTTTAACAGGAAGATCTAACGTGATATGATGTGCAATCGCTTATACATTTCAAAAATAAATGAAGCAAATTCAAGCAAGGATATACTTTTAAGAAACATGCTTCTACTTACAAATGGGCTGTTTAAGATTACTATAGCCCTTTCAAATGTTTTTATGCTCCCTAATTCATTATTATAACCTCTTTTATTTTCACTACTACCATGTTTTTTAAAGGAAAAAAGTTATTTCATATTATACACTTCAATGTTTTCCAGTTGAAAATGAAGATGAGGCGGAAAGAGTTCTTTTTTCCTATGGCTATGGTGCTAATGTTCCCACAACAGCCAAAAGACGACTAAAGCAAAGGTAAAATCAGTATATATTTATTTTATTTATCTATTTAAGCTAAATGTAATTACATTTGCGCTTTCTGATAGTGTACTGGGTTCAGTGGCAAAGTCCTTTATTCTTACTATGCATAAATATTAAATTTCTCACAAAATAAAACAGTAAGTAATAATCATATATTTCATATATATTTAAATGAATTTAATGGTTTGTAGAATAGACGTGTATGTTAGAATTTCTGTAGAATTAGATTTGATGATAAGGACCTTGTTTTTATTTTCACATTAATTTCAGATGAGCTACAAATGCTTTATATCAACAGTATTCAGATTAAAATTCATTATGCTTCTTTTTTCTTTCTCTCTTTTTTATTCACCTGCCTACATTCCTTGACATACATGTTATGGAAAGTGACATGGAATTAATGCATATGTTGTGATTGAAACTATAAAAGGCTTTGTGAAAACCAAGACAATTTGGAAGATCCACTAGTTATCTTGCGAAATACTGCTTAAAAGTACAGGCAGCCCTCTATATCCATGGGTTTTGCATGTGTGAATTCAACCAACCGCTGACGAAAATATTTGAGAAAATAGTGGATGGTTGCATCTGTGTTAAACGTGTGCAGACTTTTTTTCTTGTCATTACTCCTTAACACAGTACAGTTATTTACATAGCATTTACATTTTGTTAGGTATTATAAGTAATCTAGAGATCATTTAAAGTATATGGGAGGGTATGCATGGGTTATATGCAAATATTATACCAATTGTATATAAGGTACTTGAACACTCATGGATTTTGGTATCCACAGAAGTTAGGGAGTGTACACTGGAATCAGTCATTCCACAGATACCAACAGACAACTGTACACTAACAGAAAATTGTACCTATATTAATCGGATTTCCAGTTGACCTGCCTGATTTTTATTCCTAACTCCTCTGTCTCACCAAAATATATCCTATTTGCAAAAACATCTCACTGCCCCATTCACTACCACATCAAATCCATCAAATCTGAATGTTTCTTTTAGACTTCCAAGCGCCTCCATAATATAGCCCTGCCTCTCCAGCCTTATTTGCCTCTCTACCCAAAATGTGGATGGATGTACCTCTCTATTTCTCTGCCTATAAAACATCTGTTTTCTCTATACCACACAGTAGAGCATTTGTCTGATCTCATTAGCTATCATTTTCTGTGTAATTTACCTATCTAGATGGAAAGTTCTTCAAGGTCAGCAACTGCATCTTTTTTTTTTTCCTTGAGACGAAGTCTCACTCTGTTGCCCAGACCCTGAGTGCAGTGGCACAGTCTAGGCTCACTGCAACCTATCTCCCAGGTTCAAGCAATTCTCCTGTCTCAATCTCCCAGGTAGCTGGGACTGTAGGCGTGCACAACCACACCCAGCTAATTTTTGTATTTTTAGTAGAGACAGGGCTTCACCATGTTGGCCAGGCTGGTCTCAAACTCCTGGCCTTAAGTGATCCACCCTCCTCAGCCCTCCAAAGTGCTGGGAACACAGGAGTGATCCACCACGCCTGGCCTAGCAACTACATTTTTTTTTTTTTTTTTTTTTGAGAAGAGTCTCACTGTGTTGCCCAGGCTAGAGGGCAGTGGCACGATCTTGGCTCACTGCAACCTCCACCTCCCAGATTCAAGTGATTCTCCTGTCTCAGCCTCCCGAATAGCTGGGATTACAGGCATGTGCCACCATGCCCAGCTAATTTTTGTATTTTTAGTAGAGACTGGGTTTCACCATATTGGCCAGGCTAGTCTCAAACTCCTGACCTCAAGTGATCTACCCGCTTTGGCCTCCCAAAGTGCTGGGATTACAGGTGTGAGCCACCGTGCCCTGCCAACTACATCTTATTCTTTTTTCTTTCTCACTGTCTCAGTGCAGGGTACCTAGTAAAATTGTTTCTTCATCTGAGCATTTGAGAATTCAAAGCTGCTTTTTTTCACATGAACTGATTTAGACATTTAGAGACATTATACACAAAGAAAAACCATCTTAACTCTGATACTCGTGTGGAAACTTTTAAGTGATGTCTCAGAAAATAGAATATCTGTATGGCTATCTAAAATGATGTATCCTCATTCATATAGTGGTGAATGTAAAAAAAAAAAGTGATGTAGGATATAGACCACTTTATGAAAAGCAAGGAAGAGATGCCTAGAACTTAACGGCTCTTACCAGTTAAACTTAAATATATGCCAAATTTTGATCAAGGCTATATGAATAGAAAGTATCAATTTGTAATTGGAATGTTTTAATTCTGTCTGGTGAGGATTCAGATATTTCTAAATAATGTATTATTTTTAAAAATCATTCTCATTCCCATTTTCTCCAAAAGTCACAATAGGTAACCTAGGATACTTTATAATTTTCAGCATATCTTTTTCTGAATCTGATGTTACCTAAGGAAGAATAGAACATAGCTTCGTGGGTAAGAGATTTATCAGTGGCAAATGATAGGCAAAATACTAAAAACTGAAATTTAAAGGGAAAAGTCACATTCTTTTCTTTATTTTGGCTTCTGAATCTTTCAAAAGAATCTTGGTTACAAGAAAAAATAGGGTCAGATGCGGGGACTCACGCCTGTATTCCCAGCGCTTTGGGAAGCCAAGGAAGGCAGATTGCTTGAATCCAGGAGTTTGAGAACAGCCTGGGCAACACAACGAAAACCCATCTCTACAAAAAATACAAAAACTTAGCTGAACGTGGGGACATGTGCCTGTAGTTCCAGCTACCCTACCCAGGAGGCTAAGGTGGGAGGATCACCCGAGCCCATGACATCCAGGCAGCAGTGAACTGTGATTGTCCCCCTCCACTTCAGCCTGGGTAACAGAGTGAGACCCTGTCTCTAAAAAAAAAAAAAGAAAGAAAGAAAGAAAGAATTTTAGTATTGGAAGTTTGCTTTTCTTAGCCCCAAATGCTGAGTTTTTTCAAAATTGCAATTATTTCTGTTGTATCTTACCATTTTTTTAAGAATTTTGAAAAGTAAAGGTTGGCTTTTAATATAAAGTGAAAATTTAAGGAACCACAACTGATTCATATTCTAAATAATGTTAACTGTCCAAATATTCTAAAGATTCTATCACTGAGCTATCTATGTGCCTTGAACATGTGCCTAATGGGCATGCTATAAATACCCCTGGCCAGCTGGTGCCAGGCATTCTTCTCATGGTGAGCCAGAGGGTTATTTTGAGGAAGTGCTTCTCAGGTCATCTAAGCTGAATGACAGGAAAGTAAGGCTAGATATCTAAAGAAAACATTTATGCATTCCTTCATGCATTCAACAACTTTTATTGAGTGCTTACTGTATGCACAAAATTGATCAGCAAACTGAAGATCCCAGTTTAGAGTCTGACACATTTCTGAAGTTTGCAAAGTCCACATTTAAATTTATAATGGATATTTGTAAAGAAGGCAGTTGGCTTTTTGCTCTTTTTATGTTTATTTGAGATAAAAACAGTGTAATCTTTGAGAGAATTATATTTAATCCTTCACATTTGAAATTAAAGGATTGGAGCCAGACGTAGTGGCATGCACCTGTAATCCCAGCTCCTGGGGAGGCTGAGGCAGAAGGATCACCTGAGACCAGGAGTTTGAAGCTGTAGTACACTGTAATTGCACCTGTGACTAGCCACTGCACTCCAGCCTGGGCAAACATAGAGACTCCTATCTATCAAAAAAAGAAAAGAAAATCAATGGAAACTTAAGGTGAATGATAATTCAGTCAGAACAGTAAATGAAATATTTGCAAAGTATAGTTTTCATTGTGCATCAGCCTATACCAAAATATATTAAAGTTTCCAGGTACTACACAATAGATTCCATTCATATTAAATTTGATTTAAAATCTTATGTATTCAACAACCAGAATTAGATATTTTAGGGTAACATTCAATTGGAGGGAGGTTTTTGATTTAGTATAAAAGTAATGCCTGTTTTGGCCGGGCGCGGTGGCTCAAGCCTGTAATCCCAGCACTTTGGGAGGCCGAGGCGGGTGGATCACGAGGTCAAGAGATCGAGACCATCCTGGTCAACACGGTGAAACCCCGTCTCTACTA